CAGTGGCCCTGCGTCTGCCTCAAAAGTGCAAGGTCCTGAGTTTGATCCCTGGTACTGGAAAAAAAAAAATATATATATATATATGGACCTGGGCATGTAGCTCAGTAAGAAGGCCAAGCTCAATCCCTAGTACTTTTAAAATAAAAAAACATGAAAACTGACCTTGCCCTCCTGGGGCCTGCACCTGCATGGTCCTTTCAGACAGGCAGGACAGAGGGTCCATCTCTGTCCATTCATTTGAGCTGGGGGGTGGGGGGTTACGCTCTCAATATGAGGAAGTTGAAGAAGGAGCCCACTTTTTTAAAAAATCCTAATATTTTTAAGATCAATCTCAGTTACCTAAAGACCTCTGAAAAATCCATTCCTGCAAAAAGCAATGAAAATCACCCAAAAATTTCAAAAATCAACTTTTTCAGGACTCTGGAAAATAGCCAGAAGCTTGTAACAATCTAAAAAGCAAAGAAAAATCACTGATCTTGGAAAGACCAGCAAGATTTCCTGACGTTTTAATCTGCCTCACTCCCCCCTCCTCTCAACTTCACAAGCCAGAGCAACTGTGAAAACCAGCAGCCTAGCAGACACTGAAGAAGGTGGAATGGGTTTGGAGCTCCTCAGAACCCCCAGATCCAGTGGATTGTCATGTCTGACCTGTCTGGCCTTCCCTGAAAACCTCTTTTCACCTGACTCAGAGCTTATACTGTGCAAACAGCTTTTCCCTGGGACATTTCCTGAAAACCGTCAGCAGTACTCGTTTAAAATAACATGGAGGCTATAACACTTGGGTCAAACAAGAAGCAGATGAAAAAATTTAACAGGAAAAACTATGGAATGAGATGCTTTTCCTGACCCATGGGGATGGAACATGTACAAAACTATGTACCCTGTCCATGGAAAGACTGGAGAAGCCCCTAAGCTCTTGTCTCTAACTCACATTCAGGCTGTGGGCACAAAAGAGCGTGGTGGTGCACATCTGTAATCCTAGCACTCAAGAAGGTGAGACGGGAAGATCGCCACAAGTTTGAGGCCAGCCTGGGTTACATAGCAAGACCTTATCTCAAACAAAGAAGGCTTGTAAGGAAATCTGTGATTATTAGCTGACTACTCAGCCAAGCAAACTGACTTTTAGGCCAAATACACTAGAATACAAAGGAATACTATGAAACTCCTATACCCCAAATTACATAAACTAGATAAAATGGACTCATCTAGAAAGACAAAAATTACTGAAACTAAAAAAGCTGAAAGGCTCTCTAATGAGTAAAAAGATTGAATTAGTGATTTTAAAACTCCCTGCAAAAAATAAAAAGGCTCAAGCCAAGATGTCTCCAGTGGTGAATTCTACCAAACATTTAAAGGAAAATTAGCATTAATCCTTCACAAAGTCTTAAAAAAGGAGAGAATGTTTCCCAGTTTATTTCGTGATGCCAAATTATCCTGATACCAAAACCAGAAAAGATATTTCAAGAAAATTATCCCAAATATATACTAATTTTTTAAAAACTGAAAAAAATACAGACCATATCCTTTTCTAACATAGATCCAGAAATCCATAGATACTGAAATATTAGTGTCTAGGGTTGGGAAAAGGACACTGGGAACGATTGAATGTGTTCACGGTTTCCTTTTGGTGTGGTGACAGTCTTCTGGAGTTAGTACTGATCAGTACACAACTTTATTACTATATTAAAACCCACTAAATTGTGAATTTTAAAAGGGTGAGTTTTTCTTCCTCCCATTTGAACATTTTCTGAACTAGGGGGAGGGAAAGAAAGGAAGAGAAAACATGAAAAACAAAGCTTTTGTGATTAAGGAGGGGAAGAAGGGTTAAAGGGTAGAGAGGGAAAGGAGAAAAAAAATCAAGATATATCATATACAGATACAAATTCTATGATGAATGTTATTATGTATATCTAAAATGTACCAATAAAATTAATTTTTAAAAAATAGGATAGGTTTTACCAGATGTGGTGGCTCAACACGTATAATCCCAGCTACTTGAGAGGTTGAGGCAGGAAGATCTCACATTCCAGGTCAGCCTGGGCAACTGAGGCCTTGTCTCAAACAAAATCTTAAAAACCAAAACAAGACTGAATTTAACAATATGGAATTATGTACCAATAAAAGTATCATTCTGCCCTGCAAGTTCAAGGACCTGAGTTCAACCCCAGGTACCAAAAAAAAAGTATTCTAAAAATCTTTACACAAAGCTGGCATAGTGGTACAGGACCTGTAGTTCCAGCTACTTGGGAGGCTGAGACAGGAGGATCACTTGAACCCAGGAGTTCTGGACCAGACCAGGCAACATAGTAAGACCTTATCTTGGAAAATAGCAAAAACAAAACTATACAAACATTCCCATGAGAAGTCCACACACCGTAGTATCTTTTAGTGTTATGTTCGAAAGTTTTTGGGGTTTTTTTTTGGGTACCAGGGATTGAACTCAGGACCTTGCGCTTGTGAGGCAGGAGGTGGAACCACTGAACTAAATCCCCAGCCCTCAAAAGTTTTTTTTTTTTTTCTTTTTTTGGTACCGGGGATCGAACTCAGGTCCTTGCGCTTGCACAGCAAGCGGCGAAACCACTGAGCTAAATCCCCGGCCCCCTCAAAAGTTATTTTTAAGCAAAGGGGAAAAGTGAGAAATGTTTCTCACCCACTGTGAGAGATTTACTTCTGTGACCCTATTTTACTGCTATTCCTTCCATCCCCTCCCCTCATGGTGCCAAACTCTGAGGTTAAAAGAACCCACGTGCAAGTCTTTCTATCTGCTAGCTTACCAGCTTTAGCCTCGAAACTGTGAGGGGCACTCTTGCCCCACAGACAACAACTCGGGGCATTCCTTTTCTGTCATACATAGCATCAGGGTTTGCCAGGATCTGGTCAGATTTGCCATTAGTCCTTTCTGGCTTTTGTTCCCGTTCTGTGGTACTTAGTGGTCACTTTCTCCTGTGGCCTAGGACCTGGGGTCTTCTATCTGCTGACTCTCAGGAGCCTTTACCAGACCTAGGCTCTGGTACCATGACCCCACACTTGGATTACTCTCTCCCCCTATCTAAACTCTTTCTGGATGTCTGTGCTTTTAATTCTGATTAATTATGGATAGATTATTCATGCTGAAGGTGAAAATTACTGAAACTAATTTCTTAAAAGTATTGCTTATTTTAAGGAGGTATTTATTTCCTACCTTCGTTCACTGAAAGGCTTAGAAATGGTAAAGAACCATGAACCATTCTCTGAAGTCTCTAGAAATATTTTCTCCCCTTTGTTTTTGAAGGGTATTGAGGAAGGCCCTCACCATGTAGTCCAAGCTAATTGGAAATTCACTATGTAGGCCAGGCTGACCTTGAACTCATGGTCCTCCTGCCTCAGCCTCCCAGGTGCTGGGATTGCAGGTGTGTGGTGCCATACCGGCTAAAACATTTCCTCTTTGAAGGAACCAGAGCCCTTAGAGGAATGTACAGTGCCAGGTCAAGGGCAGGAAACATTTAAAATGAGCCTGGATAGGGGCCAGGGATTTAGCTCAGTGGTTTCGCCGCCTGCCTCACAAGCACAAGGTCCTGAGTTTGATCCCCAGTGCCAAAAAAAATGAGCCTGGAATGTCTTCTCAGTGAGGAGTCCCTCTGACCGTGAGCACATGTTGGTGGGACTCAAGGGCCAACCTTGAAAGGTTCCTAGTTGCTAAAGATGGGACTATTTGAGCATTTGAATAACAAATGCACTGGAGCACATTACATGTGTTAAAATCCAAGATTTCTTCAGGCTGTTTTCAAACCAAAGGTCACCTGAAGTTTGCAAGGAAACTCGATTAATTTGAAAACTGGCAAGAAAAAGAATCCAGCATTAATCCTCTATTTTGTGTTTGGCACACCTTAGAATAACCACATAGTGTGAAAAATAGCACCATCATTTTGCAATCCCTAGTGAGAAATGAAACTAGAAAAACAGTCACCTTTGCTGCTAAAAACATGAAAGATTGACAACAAACTTTATAAAGGGTGGATCAAACTTACAGCATCTGCTGATCAAGTTTGATATCACAGACAAAATTGACTCACAGGTCTTGATGTGACATGATAGAAGTATGTGGTACACCTGTGTCACAATCTTGCTAAAAACTAATTTCAATCTTATCCAGCTTCCAGAATCTGTTTTCAGGTAATACTGAAGTTAGAAGGATATGTTAGACCACCCCAGGATACCATCGGCGGAATCAGAAATGAGGGAAACTAGTGGCCCTACTTTCTTCAACTAATAAATACCAAGAAAAACTTAAAGGGGAGAGGAAAACTATAGATTTAAAGAAACTCGGGATGCATCAACCGTATCAAGTGTGTACAATTAGAATAAGCTAGTTATTAAAAATGCTCCTCTGGGGAAATTTAAATGACACGATTTGATCATGTGCTATTAAGGAAATATTTTTCAGTTATTAGAGGTATTCTGGATATGATTTTGAAAAACTTGAGATACATATTGAAATATTTATGAAAGAATTAATGTAGTGCTTAGAATGTGCTTTAAACAATATTTATTGACCAAATATTGACAGTGATTGAAACTGGATGCTGAATACATAGGGGTTTGTAATACTCTGTTTATGTACTTTGATTCTAAATTTTTTAAAACTGCATAATCCCCACCACCACTAGGGATCGAACTCAGGACCTTCCACTTGCCAGGCAGGCACAGTGCCACTGAGCTACATCCTGGGCCCTGCATAATTCTTATATACAATTATTTAGTTGATTATATATACAGCCGATGGGGGGTGTACTGGGGATTAAATCTAGGGCCTTCACACTGAGCTACAACCACAGCCCTTTTTATTTTCAGACAGGGCATCACTGAGTTGCCCAGGTTGGGCTCAAACTTATGATCCTCCTGCCTCAGCTTCTCACATGCTGGGATTACAAGTATGGGCCACCATACCCAAGCAACAAGTACTTTTCATCTTGAGAAAACATTACATTTTGTTTCTTTAAGACATTTTCTGTCTTTTCTAGGAAATTTTTTTAGGTTATATGAAAGCAGTGCTTCCACATCACTAAGGTTTACCAGAAACTCTGATTTGAAGAGATTGAATGGATTTTGCACCAAACCGCAGGAAAGTCCCAAAGATCCAACCAGTAAGTTTTTATTGGTTGTCCATTTTACAGAAAAGGTAACTCCCAAAGAATGGGACACTTTGGAATCAGAACCTAGAAGAAAGGGCATGGTGGGGTCCTGTGTCATCCCTGCCTCGGAATTCAGGTCTCCTGCCTTGTACTCCCCTTGGTTCTGCTTGTATGTCATTTTTCCTTTCTCACCTCTGGTCAGACTATATAGCTTTCTATATGGATACAGATGCACCAAAGCAGTTCAGACCCTTGTCACTGTCACTGCGTGGGAAGAAGGCAAGACATGTTATCTGCTGTTTGCTTGTTGTTTCCTCCTGGAACTAGGGCCAGGCAGGTCTTGGTGAGTGGAAAGAATGATCCCTAATGAGTGTTTATCAAGAGCTTAAAAACATTTCTGCTGGCTGGGGATGCAGCTCAGTGGCACCATGCCTGCCTGGCAAGCACAAGGTCCTGAGTTTGATCCCTGGTACCAAATTAAAAAAAACCCACTTCTGCCCTTTGACTTGGTGTTTCCATCCTAGGATATCCTAAGGAGTAATCAGTGTGTGTAGAGAAAGCTTGGAGTATAGTGTTGCCATTTTTATGTATTTTGAAAATTAGAAATACATAGAAATGTTAAATAATTAGGGAATGGTTAATAAGGTATTTTAGGTCTACTGGATGACGTGCAGCTGTTAGAAATGATGCTTATAAATATGTACTAGTATGGAAAATATTTGTTACATTAATGAGCAAACCATATAAAATGTTCTATATAAGCATAAGCATCATACACACACAGACACACATGCACACACGCACACACATCCCTACATGCTCATACAGATAAAACTGAGACAATTAATGGCAATTAAAATATAGTTGTTGCCAGGTGTAGTGGCACATGCCTGTAATCCCAGCACTGGGGAGGCTGAGGCAGAAAGTTTTCAGGTTTGAGGCCAGCGTGAACTGTATAGTGAGACCCTGTCTCAAAAACATAACAAAAATACATATACACATACATATGTGTGTGTGTGTGTGTGTGTATATATATGTATATGCATATATGTATGTATATATTGTATTTCATGGTTATGCTGTAAAAGAATTACAGGTAGTTTTAATTTTTCCCTTTTCACATCTGTACTTTTCTGAACTATTTTAAAGGATATGTATTAAAAGTTTTTTAAAACTATAGAGTATTATGCCAAGTATTGAAAAGAAAAGAAGATAAGAACTCTGGCAAGCACTAAGTCCTGAGTTTGATCCCCAAAAAAAGTACCAAAAAAAGAAAAATAAGAACTATTACTGTGCTTTAAACCTCTTTTTCTGCTTTTGGTTCTTTCTGTGTCTTTTTTCCCCGGTGACTTTTCTGTTCTTTTTTGCTGTCACTTTTGTGTGTGTTTTGTTTTGTTTTGCATTACTAGGGTTAGCTACATACCTAGCCCTTTTATAATTTTTAAATTTTGAGACAGGGTCTTGCTAAATTGCCTAGGTTGGGCTTAAACTTACAATCCTTTTCTTTCTCTCCCTTTTTTTTTTTTTTTGGTACGGAAGATCAAGCTCAGGACC